CAGGGCACACATAAGGCCAGGATGTGAAGGCCAAGCTTCGGAGAGACACCAGGAAATATTCCTTAACCCAGAGAGAGTGGTTAACGGCAGTAACAGGATACCAGTGACAGGTTGAGTCCAGGATCCTGATTACCTTTACAAAACTACAATTTATGTTGAAAGCCTTGGATTCAACTTCCAGATCGGCTCTTTGGGTTTTTAGTCTCGTCTGACACTCCAGTGCAGTGCTGGGGAGCACTGGATTGTCAGAGGGGCCATTCTTCAGACAAGACGTTAAACCAAGGTCTCGCCTGCCTATTCATGTAGATGTTAAAAATGCCATGATATGATTTGAAAAGAGAAGGGAGTTTTTAAAATTAGTTTCCTGGCCAACAACCCCCCCAAATAAATTGGGTCAATCTCTTCATGGTTGCTGCGTTCACCTACAAAATATGTTAAACAGTCACTACATTTTACCGTAAATCCTGTGAACTGCTTTGAGATGGCTTGACATGATAAGGGGTTATATCAAATGCAAGAATTATTAATATTATTATAATAATAGCTTTAGTAAAGAAAGCCACAGTATCCCCCTTGATTCATTTGTATCATTATGTTGACTAGATTGTAAGAAGTGCTATAAATCCCCTTTTGGCAATTTACCAATTCTCCCTCATAGTGACCATTTATTGCAGTTATGAATCCATACAAGCAGCTCAGTTATGAAGTAACCTACGAGAACAGAAGCCAAAGAATATGACCCAGATGTGATCTTTGGTCGGCTAAAGAAAACACAGCAGGCTAGTGAATACAAATCACCTATGCTGAACTTATTAAACAGTTAATTGAAAGCAGATGCAGAACTTTCCAATAGCAACTCAAATGGTGCAACTGGTTAGCAGATTCCTGTTACCTGGCTCGTGGACTTTTGCTCAGTTTTAGTTTACAGGTTGATTGCTATTGCTGGAGAATACAATAATGCTATTTGTAGCTGTCATTCCTGAAGGAGACAGGAAATCAGTCAAATAAACTTTGGTATATGAAGCAAGTTCACGACCACTGACGCCCATGGGATCCTGAACTTTAACGCACTAACTTTTACTGCTCGACTCTATGGATCTGTTTGTTGTCCCTCACCCCCACACTTTTCCTCCTTCCTTTTTCACAAGCAGTCTTCCATTACCTCACCAAGTGATCATTCTTCACATATTAGCTTTCCACAACAGCAGTGTAAATAAACTAACCCAATCGGGTCCATTCTTCCACCTCGGTTTACCATTACATATTTTTTTCCAGTGCGCTCAACGGGACTGGAGAGAGTGTTTACACTTTAGCTACCAGAGTCTCCCTGAATGGACTGGGAACAAATATAGATACATAGAGTAATAGAGCATGGAAAATGTCCAATAGTCTATGTCAGTGCTCAAACTCCACACAAACCTCCCCACCTCCTGAACTGTTCATTTGATATCGTGCCTTATCACTTCATTGACTTCTCAAAGAGCTTCACAGAATACATTGGATTGACTGTATATTTTGTGGGCGAAACGAAGCAGCCATTTGCACACAACAGTGTCCCACAAACAGTCATGGATTGAGTGACCAAATTATTATTTTTTTTCAGAGGGATTATTCCCCCCCGAAAGCGATCTGCCAATCGACTAACAAATTGGTTGCGACTTAATTATAGGTAAACATAGGGGTGTGCAGTAAGGAAACTTGCCTAAAGTTTTGCTCTTAGGGCTTCTGATTTTCAATTTTAACTGAAATCCCCAATAAAACAACCCAGATACTAAAAGAAAAGGGTTTTTATCCAATAACCCCCATAAATTATTAGCTGTCCTGACGCGCACTGTATATGCCTGAAGGTGCCTCTCCCCCATCCATGTGCACAAGTGTGTCTGAATCTTCCATTAAAAAAATCAGCAAACCCCCACAAAACCCAAATTTTTAGAATTCAAAACATTTCTGGATAAAAAAAAACCAAAATTAATATTTTTACCCTTCCTCCAAAATAGAAGTCCTAAATATAACCTCTGTCTTGGATTGCACCTGCAGCCTCTCCTCCCTATCATTCTCACACCCAGCTCAGGTTACCACTCAATCTCTGTCAAGTGTTTCGAGCTGATATGAAAGGCGTCTAACACGTTCTATTTGTTGTTATGCGAAGTAACAGGTTGTCATGGTGTTACAGGAGGAACACATATTTTTTGGACTGGAAACAAATACAGATACCTCGTGTAACACATTAATCATCTCAATTTACAGCGTAATGAAGAGTCATTGAAACTTGCAATGAAATTAGCATTGCAAGTCTTGCTTGCAATGCTAATCTTACAAAACAGTTTAAACTGGTTACACACAGTGTAGAATGATTCTCAATCTTAAAAAGGTACTCCTTTTGGAACTAATTGAGACTCAAGCAAAAGACTTTAAGGAAAACGATACACCTGTAAACATCTTGTGTTCCTCATCCTGAGTGCTTCTGTCAGCAGTGAAAAGACAATTAATGGATAGAACTGATCAACACCAGAAGATATTAAAAATAATCCTTGCATTTGATATACCACCTTATCACATCGATGAGATGTCTCAAAGTGCTTCACAGAATATTTTGTAAAATAGATTAACTATGTGTTTTGTGGGTGAACCACTACAGCCAATTGCACACAGCAGTGTCCAATTGTCATGGATTGAATGACCAAATTTTTTTAGATGGATTATTACCCCCGGAAAGCGATCTACTAATCGGCTAACAACCGGATTCCAACTTACTGTTAGGCAAGCAGTCTTGTGGAGTAAGGAAACTTGCCTAAGTTTTCGCCACACCTGGGAATCGTATCCGGGTCCTCCTGCTTAATAATAATCCTTGCATTTGGCATAGCGCCTTATCACGTCTTTGAGATGTCTCAAAACGCTTCACAGAATATACTGCAAAGTGAATTGACTGTAATTTGTGGGTGAAACGAGGCAGCCAACTGAGTACAGCAGTGTCCCACAAACAGTTGTAGTGACCAATTTATTGTTTTTTTGAAGGAATAATTACTCCCAGGAAAGCGATCCGCCAATCGACTAACAACCGGGTTCCTACTTACTGCTGGGTAAACAAAGGTGTGTGGAGTAAGGAAACTTGCCCAGCGTTTCACCCTGCTGGGAATTAAACCGAGGTCTCACACTTGCGAGGTGAGTGCTCTAACCACTGAGCTACAGGATTCCACAAGATGAAAGGATTGGTATGGATGAAGAAGGCCCTTCAGTCCATTTGATCTCATCCTTCCCAACACCCACCCTACCACCCACCTCCCATCATTGCATCAAGCTGCTTTTTAAATGAGTCCAGTGTCTTGGCCTTTACCAACTTTTCTGGCAACTTGTTCCAGTCATTGATTACTCTGTATGAAGAAAATCTTCCTGGTATCTGTCCTGAAATTGCCCTTGAGAACTCTAAACCTGTATCATCTTGTTCTAGTGCCTTGTTGCATCCTAAAGTACTGTTCGGAATTTACTGTTTCAATCCCATTTAAAATTTTGTATACCTTTACAAGGTCCCCTCTGAGTCATCTTCTCTCAAGCCTGAAGAGCTCAAGCTTGTATAATTGAAAATTTACACATTGGTAGTTATGGCCTTAATCTCGAAGATTAACCACTTTCTAATTCTGAAAATTAGATTTAATGTGGCGGGGGGCATAATGATGAAGGAAATTAAATTAAACGTCTTAAGGTAAGGAGAAAAATAGGTTCATTTGTTTAAATCCCTCCCTGAATCCAGTAAATCCTGTAGAGTCCTATCCTTCCCTGAGTCCAGTAAATTCTGTAGAGTCCTATATCAAATTGGTTAGAGCACTTGCCTCGCAAATGAAAGAACCTGGAGTTCGATTCCCGGGCAGTGTGAAACTTTAGGCAAGTGTCCTTATTCCACACGCTTCTGTTTATCTAGCAGTAAGTAGGAACTTGGTTGTTAGCCAATTGGCGGATCACTTTTTGTGGGGCAATAATCCCTCATTTCAAAAAAAAAATGGCCACTCAATTCATGACTGTTTGTGGGACACTGCTGTGTGCAATTGGTGGCCGCATTTCACCCACAAAATATAGTTAATTTACTTTACCGTATATTCTGTGAAACACTTTGTGACGTCTCATTGGCACGCTAAGGCGCTATATCAAATGCAAGGGTTATTATTATCATTAAACCTCTGGGACATCTTCTTGTAGATGGCTCTGCATTCAAAAGCTTGGGAGGACTAAGTGTCAATCAAAACCAAAGCAAAGGTGCATAACAAAAGGTCGAGAGAAAATGAATTCAGGAGAAATTATATACAACCAGAGCAGCGCCAGTTGGTTGAAAGCGAGAACACTGAGGTACTTGGAGCATATTAAATATTCCTGGTGTGAAAATTCTGAGATTTACAGTCACTTTCTATTCACACATGTGGCAAGGAAAAGATCAGATGCCACTACTTTGGCAAAAGTAAAATGAACAACTTGTCCATGAAGCAAGAGGTCTTATCATTAGCTATTCCTTTCAAATGCAAAATCACATGCCAGTTCACCCCATCCACCATCTGCGGTTGGACCTTCAGCCTCTCCGCCTCCATTCTTTAAAACTCCACCCTTTAAAACTCCATCCCGCATTCCCTTCGCCTTGCTCCCTACTTGCCTCCTTCAAGGCACGTCTGAAGACGCTGCTCTTCGACCATGCCTTTGGTCACCCTCCTGCCCTCCAACCCCCCTTACCCCAATCCCCCCCTCCCTGCTCAAGTCCAAATCACTGACTGTACAGCGCCTTGGGATGTCCTCCTGACGTGAAAGGCGCCATGCAAATGTAATTTTGTATTGTATCCCCCTGGTTATAATGTGACCTCAACTTCCTTTAGTGCCTCCATGACCCTGTTCCACGCTGGTTACACCAGAATTCCGCTCCCAATTACACCTTGACCCGACTGCCCGATTACTCCATGACCCAGCCCTGGTCACACTGTGACTTCCCCGCACCCCACTCCACTGCTACCCCCCCACCTCACCTCTGCTTTCCACACTTCTTCATTTTCTTGCTGGTGGCTTCTCCCAGGAATCTAAAGACAACAGGAAACATAACATTGAACACACGTTTCGCAGGGACAGAATAAAGACTCTTTTTGTGTTTTTAACCTTAAATCTGTTTATCTTCCCTTCACAGTAACACTATTAAAGAATGACTGAGGGTTTTAATGAAGCCATTTTTAAAATTGGCCAAACTGAGCCAGAGTTTTTGAACAAAACAGTTACACTTGCAGAAAATGCTGTGAGGTGCTTTGGGATGTCATCCTGATGTGAGAAGCATTATAGCAAATGCAAGGATTATTCTTATATTGCAGTGTAGGTCACTCTAATGACAAATTAATTCACATGTGACTGTCAAGAGTTTGAACCATCCGCTCCCCCCTTGGTATTTCATCACAATCATTTGCAATGCAAATAAACAAATAAACCAATTTGTTATTGTGCTTACATTGTAACGCCTCAAAGCTCTTCACAGAATTTAATGCAAAAAGTTCAGAGAATTTGTATTTAGAGACAAATTAGACACATCAATATCCCACATTCGCTCATGTATTTGAATGTGTGCAGAGCCTTTTGGACACGTGCAGGCATTTCTTCATTGTCTTCCCTGCAGGAGGTATTTCTTCAGTGCCTATGTGGGCAGGGCAAAACCTTAGGAAAGTTTCCTTACTCCTCTATTTACCTAGCAGTAAGTAGGAACCCGGATGTTAGTTGATTGGCGGATTGCTTTCTGGGGGAAATGATCCCTTCAAAAAATAAATAAATAATAAAAATTAATTTGGTTACTCAATCCACGACTGTTTGTGGATCACTGCTGTTCGTAATTGGCTGCCACATTTTGCCCAAAAATGTACAGTCAATTTACTTTGCAGTATATCCTGTGAAGCGCTTTGAGATATCTCAACGATGTAATAAGCGGCTGTGTCAAATGCAAGAATTATTATTATTATATATTATTAAATAGCAAGTGACCTTTTTTTTCCGGAGCAATTGTTGGCCAGGACACTATGAGAAATTCCCTTCTCTCTTCAAATAGTGTCAAGGGATCTTCATTGAGAGCCACTGATCCATCTGGTATCCTGCCACCAATCAGATAAGGTGCAAGGAAAGCCAGGGCTGCTACCCCAGTGGATACATCTGTGGTACCATTAACACTGGTAGATAAATTGGTAGAGATTTTACAGACTAAAAGCTCCATCTTAGACAAGATAAGAGTTGATGGAGTGGATCCCAAGTAGAAAGACAGGTGTCAAAGAGCAAATGAGAGTGAGTGAGAGAGAGAGAAAGAGAGAGAGATAAAAGAGAGAGTGTGGAAATAAGACAATCATTAAGTGCTGAAAGTTTTCTGAACTTTCTTGTGAAGGAAAGTCTTCAGCCTGTATCGTCAGCAGCCAGAGATCAGTGACAGTGCAGGAAGACAGATTGTAAGAGACCCAAAAGGATAATAATAAATAATAATCGTTGCATTTGTTACACAATCAATCCACTTCAAGTATATCCTCTGCAACGTTTTGAGATGTATCAACGATGTGATAAAGCACTGTATCAAATGCAAGGAATATTATTATTATGGTTATAATACATTTCTTGTGCTTAGAACATCTACTGTGAAGTGTAGCGACTGTGTATTTTGTTTACAATCAATTTGCACATAGCAATGTCCGCCACACAACCATGAGGTGAATGGCCAACTTCTATGCGGTGACATAGATTTAAGATAATTGGCAAAGCAACTGGGGCATACGAGGAGAAATAGTTTTACACAGAGAATGGTCTGGAATACACTGCCTGTAAGGGTGGTGGAAACAGATTCAATAACAATTTTCTAAAGCAAGGTTTTTGGGATAGGTACTTGAAAAGGAAAAAATTGTAAAGATATGGAGAAAGAGTAGGGGAATGGGACTGATGGGGTAGCTCTTCTAAAGATCTTATTATAATCTGTTACCTGCACATCTCTAAAATCCCCGGCTACTCTGTTTTAAGATTGAACCCAGAGGTTTAGAGTGACAAAATACCAGTAAGTATGTCGGTTAATAATTTATTCCTGTGTATGACCTTTGTTAAGAAAGCCATTCAGTTTCATATATTGTACAGATCTGCTCAGGGCTCAGTGCTTTGAAAAGTCAAGAATTAAATTCTCAGTTGCAGAGTCAGTTGTTTTGTAAGAAATCTTTTGATAAGCAAACCGGTTTTTCAGGAGTTTAGTTTTAAAGAGGAATGCAGGATTGCGGTCATTAAGGGGATAGGCTCCATTGTTCTGCAGGAGATGAAATTGGCAAATTCTGTTGGTGCAAGATAATGACTTTTGGTTGGTTAGTTAATTAATTAGTTGATGAATTAAAAGTTGAATTTGAATCAAAGTTCAATGCAAAATGGTTCAAAGTTGCTTTCTTAAATAAATGAAATTCCTGGATGTTGAAAGAAGTCTTAAAGTTGTAATATCTAATGAAATGCAAGGATTATTCTGTACATTCTGTGGATTGTTCATATTCAACAACTTTATCATTAAAATACTGTATAACATTACAGTAAAACTCCTGTATCATATCAATTGGGACCATAACATTTAATATGACTTATGCTAAGTACGAGTTGGACGCAAACTGTATAAATTGTATAAAATCTGATTTAATCAATAATCTGCACTGTGCATGGGTAATTCAATGCAGCCAGTAAGAGCCTATGTGGGAGTTTGTCATTGCAGCCGGTAAGTGGATATGTGGTGAGACCCATCACCACATGCGCACTTATCAGCAAGTATTGGAATCATATTGAATCGCGGGAAATAAAGTTCTTCTGCGCGTACATCAAGACTACCTTTCCTGCGATTCAATGCAGTCAGCTCGTAAGTGTGCATGTGGCAACGGGTCGGGACATCATTTACCAAAATTCGATACAGCGGTAAGTGCGAGACTAATGGAGGATAAGAGAGTGCAGGTAGGGGTTAGGAAACAATTAATACGACTGGTACAAAGAAATCTAAGTGGTTTTAATATGAAACTGAATAGAACTCGGGTGAATGTATGACTTGGGTGATTAAACGATTCATAAAGGTAAGACGTATGTGAGTTTTACTGTATTAATTCCGGAATGGAAGGTTTGACAATAGTGAAATTTTTGTCTGAACGTGAATCATTAAGCGCACTATATAAATGTTTGAAGGGCACTATATAAATGAAAATTGTGTTATTATCTTACATTATTGTTAATTCCTCCTTGCGCTCTCTCAGCACCTAATGGGTTTCTGTGCAGTCAAGCAAGGATAGGACAGGACATTATTCAGAGGTATTGCTATTGCTCAAGTTAAGCCCATTAAACACACAACTGAGGCAACATTAACAGATGGGTAAGCAGTGTGTGGTGGATTGAAAAAAAAGGTTACCATGGCATTAACTAATGCACAACTCAGAACAGGGAGATAAACGGCTTGTATTGTTTTGCAGGCTCAGTAACAGGACAGGTGAGGATAGGTAAGGGGAGAAACAGAACGAAAAATAAATAATTTTAGAAGGAGCAGGAAGTAAGAATAACAATAATCCTTATATTTGATATAGCGCCTTAACATGTTGAGTTGTCTCAAAGTGCTTCATGGAATATACTGGAAGGTGAATTGACTGTATATTTTGTGGGCGAAACACAGCAGCCAATTGCGCACAGCAGTAATGTAATTTCTTTTTAAAAAAACTTGGATAGCTGACTGATTTTTCAGGATCTGTGCTGCATATTCCCATCCCCCAGTCTGAATCCAGTTTCTTTAGCAAAGTACATTTATCGCCAAACACAGTAAACTCTGCCTCTGTTTAAAACAAAACATTCATAAAACCTTCAGCTGGTAACTTCATTTTTTTTCAAATTCACCCAACACGAGCACGGCAATTTCAGAATGCAACAACAACAACTTACATAGTGCCCCTCACGCAGAGGTCTGACCCAATGATAGAGAAAGAAGTGCGGGTTTGTGTGTCACAATCGAGCTTGATTTGAGTTCACTTATTGACTGGCGCATTCACCCACAGTCAATTCACTTTCCAGGATATCCTGTGAAATGCTTTACAACGTCCTCCTGACTGAAAGCCGCTATATCAAATAGGTATTCTTCTTATCGTGTCTTTCAGCTCATTTAATGCTCTTGCTTCTGAAGATACTCTTAACAAGCAGATGGGGTCGGTGAGAGCCAAATTAAGATGACTGTAATAACAGCGTATTTTTTCCATGTTACCCAGGGCTGCAATTATTGTTTACATAATTGAATATTCTATTTGAATGTTTATTCCACTCAGGCTTACTGAGCTATCATAAAAAATGCCATTTCCGAGTTGGCACTTTGACTTTGTTTTCCTTGGTTTTGTGTTTGGAAATTAATAGTCACGTGGCTAGCTAATACAGACACAAAACAGACTCTCCTTTCTTTGCTCATAAATCTTAGATCACAAAAAAAATCTCTCCTTGCAATCGCAGAAGCACCGAACAGACCACACTCTAAATATGCTCAGAAAAAGAATGGAGCCCAAGGATTTGCTTAAAAGGGAATTAGGAGATACCACTGAGAAACCCACAATTCTTCTTTAGCAAAATCCTTTGCATTACCTTATCAACAGCCGCTTCCTTTGATCAGCTTCAGGTCTCCCTGCCCCACCCGCACTATAATTCGGTGGGCGAGCTTTCAGGCATTCCTGGCGCTCTGGAAGTCCATCCCAGAGTCCCTCTGATTTATACCCTCCCTCCCAGTTTTAAAGCCCAACGCTTTTGGTCATCCTCCATCCATCCCCTTACTCTTCAGCTCCCCTTTACTTTAAAAAGTAAAAGTTACTATGTGAGACAGTGAAACATTATTTATTTTCTGCTTTGTGACCATGCCTAAGATCTGAAAATATGTTTGGCTTGGATGAAGAAATCCCTTAATTCCCTCCGATCTCATCCTTCCAGAACATCCATCCTAACGTTGCCCCCATCAGAGCATCAAGCTGCTTTTTAAAATATTTATACATTTCCTTTTGTGATTATTAATATAGCTCCTGTTCATGAGGCTCTTGTTTATATGGTTCCTCTGCAGAGCCCCCTATGCATAAACATCAGGCAATGATATGGAGCACACACAAACACAGTCACAGTAATGTAATAATAATAATTCCTTGGCGCCTCATTGCATTGGGAGGGCACTTTAAAGCAATATGATATGTCAGAGGATTTTACCATGAAGTGCAGTGACTGTGCACTTGCCTGCAATCGCAACAACAAATCGCATTTATATACATGTACATATACATGTTGAGAGGATGTCCCAAGCTGCTTTACAGAATTATGTTGTAATTATGTATATTACTTCAGTTATCAGGAGAGGCTAGAGAAGCTAGGATTATTCTCCTTGGAGCAGAGAAGGTTAAGAGGAGACTTAATAGAAGTTTTCAAAATTATGAGGGGATTCGATAGGGTGAACAAGGAGAAACTACTTCCACTGGTGGTATAAATGAGATAAGCCTCCCACTCATCAGTGCTGCCCTTATTCCCCGCACGAGGAGTATTACACTTGTGGACCCACCCGATCCCCCTGGTACAGCAACAATCTCCGCCGCCAAAAAACCCAAACCCGTCTGCTCGAGCACAGATGGCGGAAAACTGGCCTGACAGTTCACTGCAAACTGTGGCTCGAGCATCTCCACAACTACCGCCATTCTTTGATTCGTGCAAAAACAGCCTTCTACTCCAACATCATCTTGGAGGCTAAACACAACCCAAATAACCTTTTTTCCACCACCTACTGCTCCTCCGTGCCTCCTCTCAGGCCTCCTCAATCTTCGTATCAAATGCCAAGTGCGAGGAGGTCTTGGACTTCTTTTCTTCCAAAATACCTAACATCCACCAGGCAGCCTCATCCACCTGCACCTTGTCACCCACCATCAGCCCTCTCTGTCCCCCTCACCTTCCTCATGACCTGCTCCTACCACCACCCCCATTCTACATTCCTTCCTCCCCATCTCTCCCTCTTCCCTCTCATCCAACATCACCTCCATGAAACCCACCACCTGCTGCCTCGGCCCCCTCCCCACCAACTTACTAGTCACCCAGCTCCCCCTCCTCTGCCCACTACTGGCTGACATCATCAAACAATTCCTCTCCTCCGGATCAGTCCCTGCCTCCCCCAAACTGCTGTCATCACCCCCCTCCTGAAAAACCCTCCCTAGATCCCTCAAACCCCTACCACTACTGTCCTATTTCTAACCTGCCCCTCCTCTCAAAAGTTCCAGAACACATCGTTGCCAACCAACTTCGTGCACACCTCTCCTCCCACTCCCTCTTCGAAATCCCTCCAGTCCGGTTTCCGCCCTGCCCACAGTACAGAGACTGCGCTTATGAAAGTCACAAACGACATCCTCTCTATCTGTGACCAGGGCTCCCTCTGCCTCCTTGTCCTCCTTGACCTCTCCACTGCGGTCGACACAGTCGATCACGCCATCCTCCTCCACTGTCTTTCCTCCGTCATCCACCTCAGTGGGACCACACTCGCCTGGTTCGAGTCGTACCTCACAAACCGCCAGCAGTACATCTGCACAAACAGCTTCTCCTCCCACTTTCACCCGGTCATCTGCGGAGTACCCCAAGGATCCATCCTTGGCCCCCTCCTCTTTCTGATCGACATGCTCCCTCTTGGGGATGTCATCCGTAAACATGGGATGCACTTCCACATGTATGCAGATGACACCCAACTCTATTTTTCCATATCTCTTTGCGACCCCCAGTCCCCTGATGTTCTGTCAGCCTGCCTGTCAGATTTCAGGGGCTGGATGAGCACAAACTTCCTTCAGCTGAACGTTAACAAGACGGAAGCCATACTCTTTGGCTCTCTCCAACGTCTAAAATCTCACGGCTCTCACCTCCTCCACCTACCCGATCTCCTCCTAAAACTCTCCGAACCCGTTTGCAACCTAGGAGTCAGGTTCGACCCCCAATTATCCTTCCTCCCCCACATCCGGTCCCTCAGCTTCTACCACCTCCGATGCATCACCCGTCTCCGCCAATACTTCTCTCCAAAATCCGCTGAAACCCTGGTCCATGCTTTTGTCACCTCTCGGCTAGACTACTCCAATGCCCTCCTCACCAATCTCCCATCCATTACCATCCATTACAATCCAAATCATTCAAAACTCTGTCGCCCGCATTTTCACCAGCACGAAACTCCGCTCCCCGATCACCCCAGTCCTTGCCAGACTGCACTGGCTGCCTATCCCAGAGAGGATCGATTTCAAGATCCTCACCCTTGTATTCAAGTCCCTCCACTCCTCTGCACCCCCCTACCTCTCTGACTTCCTCGCTCCTCAAAACAGTACCCGTTGCCTTCGTTCCTCCAGGTCTGGCCTCCTCCTTGTCCCCCGAGTCCTCTGCTCCACCCTCGGAGGCCGTGACTTCAGCCACTATGCCCCGAGGCTCTGGAACTGCCTTCCTCACTCCCTTCATCTCGTTCCCTCCCTTCCCATTTTCAGATCTCTGCTGAAAACCTTTCTCTTTGACCGCACCTTTGGTCACCTTCCTCCCCCTCCCCCTGGCTCGGTCCCGGGATCCGTTACTGTAAAGCACTCTGAGACACTGTCCGGCGTGGAGGCACTATATAAATCCAAGTTGCTGTTGTTGTTATTGTTGACACAGAGCAAGGACCCAAGCAGGCTCATAGCCCACCAGCATTCACCAATGTAGCTGAAATTAAATGCAAAGTCAAGACAGAATAACAATTATAATAATAACCATAATAATTCTTACAATTAATACAGTAACTTTCACGTCAGGAGGACAACTCAAACCACCTCACAGGATTCACAGTAAAATGTAGTCACTACATTTTGTAAGCGAACTCAACACAGAAGTCGATACTGACTCATTGGTTGACTCACCTCCCACTGAATCTCCCCAAAAACTCAGCCGTTTGTACAGTTGCCCAATGTTAAACATAGACATCTCCCAGCACGCTGATAAGGAATCTTGCTTAACTTGACTTACCTCATTCTCCACTTCCTCTTTTCTTTGGTTGTAGTATTCTAAATTACGATCAACACCAGGCACCTTGTGTTTTGAGTACGATTGCTTCTTCCAGCTTCTGAATTCTGAAAACAAACACAGGAACAAACACATCAGCATTCTCACAATGTTGGAAGCTTGAGAAATGCTGAGAACTTTCCGACTGATCCCCCGAAAGAGCACGGCTAATAATATTCCTTGCATTTGATATGGCGCCTTTCATTTCAGAAGGATGTCTCAAAGCACTTCACAAGATTTAAAGTAAAGTGCAGTGACTGTGTATCTGTAGGTGAATGTGACAGCCAATTTGCACACAGCGATGTCCCACAAACATCCACAAAGTGAATGATCAATTTTATCTGTGGGATTGTTGGCCAGGACACTGGGAGAAACTCCCTTCTCTTTTTTAATTGCATCACGTGCCATGGGATCTTCAACGTCCACTTGAACAGGCAGACGGGGCTTGGGTTATCATCTGTTCCGAAGTATACTACTACTGACAAAACAACGCCCCCACCCCCGAGTACTGCACTGGAGTGTCAACTTAAACTGTAAGTTCAAGGTCCCAACGTAGGACTTGAACTCACACCCTTAAAACTCAAAGGTGAGAGTGCTACCAACTGAGCCAGACTGACAGGATGATCACTTAATCATTATTTGGTGTTAGTTAAGAGACAATAAATAAAAGTCTTGAGCCTTATCTCCCCTTTGCAGCATAATACACCAATGTTGCATTCATAAGCTCATGTGTAGGTAAAAATTCCACCTGACTCCAGATTGTAGCATTTAAGAATGCACAGAATTTGGTAAATTATTGAATTCAGTTTTAACTTTGAGGTCTGTTTTCTGTACTGCTTTAAAAAAAACTTACAGAAAAACGACTTCAAAAATCATGTGACAAATTCTGGACCCTCTAAAATGCTCCATTAATAGATTAAATTTAAACTCAGGTAGAATTTTACCCCCAAAAGTTAAATATATGGAAAGAGATGGTGTCACCACAATGAGTTGTACAAATCATTAGTTAGGCCACAACTGGAGCTCAGGCACCTCATTTCAGGAAAGACGTTAGTTTTACAAGAATGATTCCGGAGATGAAGGCCTCCAGTTATGAGGAAAGATTGAGAAGCTGAGTCTGTTTTCATTGGAGCAGAGAAGGTTAGGGACGGATCTGACAGAAGTATACAAAATTATTAGGATTTTGACAGGGAAATAGGGAGAAGTTATTTCCAATAGATAAAGAAGGTCAGTAACTCAGGGACATAGTTATTAAGATTACAAGAGCAGCAAAAGGAGAACTCAAGGGGAGCTTTTTCACATAGAGTTGTAGGGACGTGGAATTCCCTGCAAAGCTGAGTGGTGGAGCCGGATTCCATTGTGGCTTTCATGAGGGAATTGGATAGTCATATAGAGAGGGGCTTGAAGGGCTATGGGGATAATGCCGGGCGGTGGGATTGAATTGATCACTTCGCTCTGTGAGCCAGTACAGACTTGATGGGCTGAATGGCCTCTTTTTGTGCTGAACATTTCTATTCTTGTAGGAATAAGGCTTTCAGCATACATTATGGCAGAGGAACTGAGAAAAAGAAGTAAAAATTTCCTTTTAAAGATTTCTAGCGGAATACAACACAAGTTCCTTGCAGCAGAATATTGTCATGGCTCAGGAAACATTTCAGAGCTTGATATTCTGAAGCCGGCCTGGCTCCTTGACATGTTATTTCCTTTGAAAGTCAAAACCCGAGCAAGAAAGCAAGCGACCACAAGGCCTGACGACGGCTCAGATTGAATCCAGATAGTTAAGATAAAGAAAGGTCTTCACTCTCCCTCGTCCCACATCCACTCCTCAACAAAGACCGCCAACGATTGAAACAAAGCAGGCTTAGGAAATCTCAATACAATCCCTATTGTACCCGACACTGCAGAATAAACTCTCAGCAATTCAAATCGGGAAACAACAACGTGCATTTGTATAGTGCTCTTTACGCAGGATACCGTGTCGGAGCACTGCCCAAGGTCGAATGCCGAACAAGAGAGAAGGGGAGGTGACCATAGGCACAGTTGAATTGTTAGGTCTTAATGTGGCCACCTTTGAAAGGCTGCAAAGTTGGCGGGTGTGTGAAGGGCAAATGTCTCAGTGATGAAGCAACTGGTTCTTTTAAGATTCGGGCCCATTGTTGGGGCAATATCAAGGGGCTTTGCTTGGCTTCCGATGCTTGAGGTGGACAACGGGGGAGGGAAGGGAAGACCATGACGCCTCCCATTCCTCACTTTGACCAGCACAAAACCTACCAAATGTGTTTGAATTTTTAAAATGAGTGGCAGAGATTCATTGGCATTGTTTAAATGGTGTTAACACCACATCTATGCGCTTTGTGGAAACCTAAACCTCCATTTTGGTACTAATGAGGCCAAAATGAATTAAACCGTCTGTGACGTGGTCGAAAAGGAATTTTAACATCTGCTTCGTGTTTGAAAATCACTGCCAGGAATTAAAAAAACTGAACTAATATTTTCCTACTGAGAATTGCAGTCTCTGTGCTAACACTGACACCATGATCACACACGTGTGAAGGCCACCCTCGCGGTTCAGTGAAGCAGCCAAGCCAGAAAAAGTTCACTCACAAGGGACCCGTCTACAGGAGGTAGCAACACCACATGAAGGCAAAGCTAATGCAGCTCACTGTGCAGACTTTTAATTATAAGTTGGGCCAATAGAAAAGTGCGGCCGCACTTTTCCTGCGGAATCTGCTACAAACGCCATCCTCCGCTACAAACACTCCTTCCTCTTCTATCCCATGCACATAGTGAGCTAGGCTCCAGGCCTCTCGTGCTGTTTGCTGAACGCTGCTACTGTGGGCAGAGTGGCTCCAGTCGCACATGCTGTTAGCACAGTGTTGGGTGTTGGGATCGTGGAAACACCGGGAGCGGGAAATTGACTTTGCCCGATGTCCGTGGCCTAACCTGAGCTCCTACGACCAATTCTTCGTAAGTTATGTAGTATCCACATTAACATTTTTAGTGTTTTATACATAAATACATGTTCAGGAAATATATGCCTATAGTTTTAATCTGGGTTGTTCCATAAAATGCATCTCTCAATAGAACCAATCAGCCCTCCGCAATTTTCCCGAATATTCCTCAAATTTATCCGTAACTTTCGCCAAATGCCTCGCATTTTGGGGCATATTTCTGCATTTTTCAACTAACCCAGGTTATAATCCTTTCATTTCAGGAGTCCTGTAGCTCAGTGGTTAGAGCACTCGCCTCGCAAGCAAGGGACATGGGTTTGATTCCTGGCAGGGCGAAATCTTGGGCAAGTTTCCTTACTCCACATGCCTAATAATAATCCCTCAAGAAGAAAAACAATAATAAAATTGGTCACTTCAATCCACGACTGTTTGTGGGACATTGCTGTGCGCAATTGGCTGCCGCATTTCACCCACAAATATACAGTCAATTCACTTTACAGTGTGTTCTGTGAAGCGCTTTGGGACGTCCTCCCGACATGAAAAGCGCTATATCAAATGCAAGGATTATTATTATTATTATTTATTCTGTGAAGCGCTTTGAGATGTCGAGAAGATGTGAAAAGCGCTATATCAAATGTAAGGATTATTATTATTATTATATGACTATTTAACATGGCACCTTTCACATAGGGGGGACGTCTCAAAATGCTTCAAAGGATTTACTTTAAACGTAGTGACTGTGCTTGTAGGTGCACAACAATGTCATACAAACAGCCATGAAGTGAGTGAGCAGTTTTACCTTTGGGATTGTTGACCTGGGCACGCTTCATTCGTTTCACTTTTCAACTAGTGCCACAGCATCTTTAATATCCACCTGAACAAACAGGCGGGACCTCGGTTTCACTTATCATCCAAAGTCTGGCACCTCTGACAATGTAACACTCTCCCAGGACTGTGTTGGGAATGCCTGCCTAGAATGTGAATTCAAAGTGTTGACGTGGGCTTTGAATCCACCAATGTCTGACTCAGAGGCAACAGTGCTACCAACAGAGCCAGGCTGACACCAATTTTAAGAGTAATGATTTTTCACATGAAGACATAAAACCATCTGCTTGCTCAGATGAACGTTAAAGATCCCCTGGCACTATTCATTCTACGCGAGAAGGGAGTTCCTCTCTGTGCCCTGGCCCACAATGCTCCGAATAAGTTTGAACGCCAGACCTTGCTGTGTACGTTGGCCTATAAATAGATGAGCAGATCTGCAAGCAGATCTCAGACAGATGCAACGCCAATAGAGTCGTGATAATGGGGGACTTTAATTATTCCAACATAGACTAGGACAACAACAGCGCAAAGGGCAAGGAGGGGGAACGATTCCTAAAATGCATACAGGACAACTTTCTTGATCAGTACATTTCCAGCCCAACAAAGAAGGAAGCAGTGCTGGATCTAGTTCTGGGGAATGAAATAGGGCAAGTGGAGCAGTTTTCACCAGGAAAGCATCTGGGCAATAGTGATCACAACATCATTAGATTCAGAGTGTATATGGAAAGGGACAAGGAACCATCTAAGATGAAGATACTCAACTGGAAGAGGGCAAATTTCAATGAGTTAAAAGGGACCTTGCCAAGGTGGACTGGAAAGAAAGATTGGCAGGTAAAACAACTGAAGAGCAGTGGAATAATCCTTGCATTTGATATAGCGCTTCTCACATCTTCTAGACGTCCCAAAGCGCTTCACAGAATATGCTGTAAAGTGAATTGACTGTGGGCGAACGCGGCAGCCAATTGCGCATAGCAATGTCCCACAAACAGTCATGGATTGAAAATGACCAATTTATTATTGTTTTGTTTTTTGGAGGGATTATTATTAGACGTGTGGAGTAAGGAAACTTCCCCAAGGTTTCGCCCTACCTGGATAGCTCGGGGACAGAATAAATACATTCCCACAAAAGGGAAAAATAGGGCATCCAAACCTCCCTGGATGACGAAGGTATCTAGAATGAAGCAGAAAAAGGAGGCATATGACAAATGTCAAATCCAAGATACAGAAGACAACCAAATAGAATATAGGAAGTGCGGAAGAGAACTGAAAGAGGAAATAAGAGGGGCAAAAAG